GTTCCGCCGGGGGGGTTGGCAGCGGCGTGGGGGCGGGCGCTGGGAGCCCCGGAGCTGTGCTCCCGCTGGGCCGGCCGCCCTGCCTGGGGTGCCGCGGGGACCGAGCTGGCTCAGCGCTGCGGCCGAGCCCCCGGCTGCCTGGGGGGTGCAGGGAGCCGGGACCCCCACACCTGGGGAGGAAGAGGTTATTTTTATTGCTGCTGGGAGCGTCCAGCGGCACAGGCTCGAGTGGGTTTGGGGTGCTCTGGTTTCTCCCGACGCTTGCGAGGGGTCAGGCAGGACGCAGGCAGGGCGCAGGCAGGTGTGAGTCAGATGGAGCGGGGAGGCGGCCTCGGGTGCTGGCTGACGTCAGGGGGCCCCGGGGAGGTGTGCGGGGCTCCCCCGGGCAGACCTCGGCACAGAGCGAGGGCAGCCGGGACGCCGGGGTTGGTGGAGGGTGGCAGGAGCTGGTGTGGGTGCTCCTGCCCCGGCTGCCTCCCCCTGCGCACGGGATGGGGCCAGGAGGGCTGCGAGCAGACCCTGCTCCCCACTCGGGATCTCGGGGGGGAGGGAAGGATGGGAGCTGCCCTGCCCGTCCTGGGCGCGGGGCTGGGCTCTGCTGGGTGGCAGGAGGGGGCCGGTCCCCTTCCCCAAACACGATCTCCGTGCCCCAGCTGGGAGAACGGCGTGTGGACCCCGGTTTGGGGGTCTGTGGGGTCCCCGTGTTTGTGCCCCGTGGGAAATGTCCCACCTATGCTGGCTCCGAGAGCAGCAGCAGGGCCAGGGTGGTCCAGCAGCCGTGCGGGGGCCGTGCCAGCCGCTGCCTGCTGCTGCCTGCCCTGGCACTGCCGCCCGCAGAGGGCTCTGTGCAGGAGTCGTGACGGCTGTGCTGGTGATGCCGGGGAGGTTGTTGTGGCTGGAGCTGGGGTGGTCGTGACCGAGCGGTGGGGACGGGGCGCCGTGTTTGTGGGGACGGTGCGGCACCACGGGGGCACGGAGCTGCCAGTTGGGCACACATCCATCCCCAGCTGCTGCAGGCAGGGAAACCGAGGCAGAGTCCGAGCTGTGGGGCAGGACAGGGGCTGGGGTGACGCTTTCCTGCGGCCAGGTGCTGTGTGCATTCACACGCGTGTGCGCACGCCTGTCGTCCTCTCCCGCCCCCTCGCCCCGTAACCTCCGTGTCCAGAGCTGCAGTGTCTCCTTCACGCCCACCTCTTCCTCTGCAGCCTCCGCCTGACATGCTCGGGGCTTTGCTGCTGGTATTTTTAAAGCTGCTTTTCCCACGGCTTCTCAGAACCGGCCTCCGCTGGAACGGGGCGCGGGGGAGCTGGGGGGGCCGTGCTCTGCAGAGGTGCCGGCCCTCGGCTGGGGAGGGGGCGGGGGCCAGGGGGGCGATAGGGCGCGCAGCTCTGCGGGTGCGTTTGGGACCCCTCGCCCT